ACTCCCAAAATCAGAGGGGAACAACAGTTGAATAACAATCACATAACCCTAACCACAAGCCTAAATAGGACATACATGTTTTTCAATTCTAATATGTGAATCTGGACAACAAAAGCATCATGATGTTACCAAAAATACATTGTATTGGTCAAAATGAATGATTTATTTCTTTTAATTCCAAAAAAACATGATAATATTGAGTATATTTTTTGGTCCAGTGCCTCATTGATCAGGGTTTGCCACAATGCAATGAACCACCAATTATTGCCACATATGTTTTACGCAGTGGATCTCCTTCCACCTGCAACCATGTATTAGGAAACACCCACACTCTCACATTCTTACACACACTCATACACTACAGCCAATTTAGTTAATCCTGTTCACCTATACCGCATGCCTTTGGACTTGGGGAAATGAGAACACCTGGAGAAAATCTATGCCAACATGGGGAGAACAGCCACACTGAGCCACCGTACCGTCCTGTATTTTTTGAGACTTATATTTTATCAATGTCTTAAAATATGGAAAATTATTTTGTTTCGTGTCTGAAGACATTAATAAATGTAATTTGTTCTAACTGAGATTGTGTATAATTATAAAGTAGAATCTCGAAAAGTTATTTCATTTTATTTTATATTTGTTTAATTTTTTAATTGTTTATTGAATTTGACTTAATTTAATTTAATTTTGTTTTATTTTATTTTATATTTCATTTATTTTTTATTATTTGTATTTAATTAAATAGAGTTTTATTTTATTTATTACTCTCAAAATACTAGTGATAATTTACCTACTTTTAGTCCATGAATCACCAACACTAGTTCAGCTAAAATACTTCTTCAATGTTTTACCGAAGGAAAAAAGACTAAAAATAAAACTGTTAAAAAAAATCACAGGACATTTTCCTTCATTCATGAGCTATCCTTTTAAGGGTAGTTTTGGTTTCTCCCATCTTTCTTTATTAAAACATTAATGTATCTGCTAGTTCATACAGCATTAAGCTTCTCAGGCTCAGCACACATTATTTAATGCAAATGCAGTCTATAGTGGATATTGATCAAATGTGCTGCTGCCGCTTGTAAAGTGAGCTCTATAGCTCTTCGTTAGCCTCTATTTTCCATGCTTGACTGAGTTTCCTTGCTCAGCTGTTTCCAGTTCCCTTTTTTGCCACAGCAGATTAAGGATGACCAAGCGTGTCAACATTTTCGCCCCTGTACTTTCAGACACGTGCATGATTGTGCTTAAATCCTGCACAGTTTAGCGGGTTCTCACAGCTTTTTTTTACTCATATTTTATACAGATGCAAATGTTTCTTTTCGTGTAGGCAAACAAGAACACGGTTTTGCATTTCTGGAACATTTCAAGGAGAGAATTTGTCACCTATAGCTGTGAGTGCCTTGTGAATCAGTGTAGTTCAAGACAGGTAACAACTAAGCACTGACAACCTGTGATCCATTAGGCTTTTTTATTGGCATGCCAAACATACAAATCTCTGAAAGTGCCTTTTCTGTCAGAAAGTGCAGTAAAGCAGTCACATCCCCTCTTGTCTCTTTAAGAGGTGGACAGAGTGCAGAAAGCTGTACGGCTGCAGTTCTTGATCATCGTAAACAATAAATGTCTTGTTTTTTTGTTTTTTTTTCAAATATTCATTCAATCAGAATTAGGCCCAGTTTATATTAATACGGTTTAGTTTTAAAACAGCATTTTAGAATGAAAACGATCCACATCCACACTGGCGTTTCACCTAGCGTTTCTGAACAGACCCATCCACATGACACCACTGAAAACGCACATCACATGACCATACACACACTCTGTCATGCGCTGCAGGATATTCACACGTTTGAGTTCCAATCAGAGAGCTTATATAGTTTACAGCTTTGAGTACACCTTTTCAGGTGAGAGCAGGTCTTGTCGGATAGTTCATCAAGGATATACTGCTGGATCGCGTCTCATTATAGTTGTTAGATGTGATATTTAATTCATCTTGTCTCTATGTAACAACTCTGGTCTTTTGAATCTATTACTTGTTCTCAGGTAAGGTGTTTTGGCTGATCACAAATATAAGCTAATATTTTAATTTATGTAACCACGTAAAGTGATTATGCACATTGACTAATTGCTTGCCTTTATTTCCTATATTGTAGACTTAGTGCATTATACTTTTATAATGACAGGGTGTGTTTCATATTTTTCGATGAAAATGAAAGGAGGCAGTTATGTTATAGGCTCTGTTTTGATTTAAATAATCATATAGTGAAGATGACGGTCATATAAATATATAGCTACAAGATGCATCAACATTTTTAGTGTCTGTTAAGTTAATATCAAAATAAAATTATGCAGTTCCTTATATCATGTTTTAATTTTATTGTTAAGATAGCGAAACAATGTAGTCAGGGCGATGCGAATGATGTTATAAAGTGTACTGTTTTTATCCTATGTGTCCTATGTGAGTTTGTTTTCCTTATCAAACTTGCAAAGTCTGAGCTTAAGGACAGGGTGCAAGACAGAACTTTGTGCACTTAATAATAAGATAGGTTAATGTCTGCAGCCACACCTCCATTTTTAGATGTCTCTGTTTGCCTCGTCCACATTGACATGGAGCAGTAGCGTTTAGAGCAAACGAAAATGGTCTCTCCAGTGTTTTCAAAATGCTCCATTTTCAGGGCTCGAAAACGTTGGCGTAGTTTGGACAAAAGGTATAAACATAACAAAACGTATGCATTTTAAAAACGTATTAGTGTAAACGGGGCCTTAGAGTTATAATTGTTGAAGGGGTGGAAATAATAGAATCTGTTTGTTTCACCCTGCTCATTTTTGGATATGATTATTGTTTGTAGAACTTTATAGATATTGATTTTTTTCCCTTTGTGTGTGTTTCCCACATGCAGCATGTTTATTGTGTACTGTATTTATTTATTTTTTCTCAAGAAAAAAGGAAGAAAAGAAATGATCACAATAAAAGATGATATGTCAACATGTGTATAAAATCTATAATAGTTTTCACACACACACACACACACAAATAAAGCAGTTGTTTTCATCATTAATATGTATTGTGTTGGCTGTTTTGTCTGATCAATCATTTTTGGCTGAAGATTTGGGTAATAGCTTGTGTCATTCTGGTAACTGAAGGAATAAATATGTTAAAATACAATTAAAATAGCAAAATATTTTACTTCATTTTAATTAAATCTACTGAGATTTTGTGTGCATGAAATTGACACAAGCTGTTGAACATTAGTGCATGTCCCTATTCAAATATTTATATTTGTGAAAGACCTGATATTATTATTGAATTTGGTAAAATAATTCACATTGTGGTGGTAGGGGTACAAAATGAATGGCACAATCAAATTAATGATTTTTCTTTCTTTGTCATTCATTCTTTGGGCTGTCATGAGTAATGTGTTTAAAGTCTGAAGGAGACCTGCACTATAATTATTTCAAATGGATTAAATTTCATTAACAAAAATATATTGATCAGTGAATAAGTAAAGAACAGCCTAAGACAGTTTAATTAAATATCAGTCACCCTTTTATACAGTAAACGCTCACAAAACAAACTGTATTTCTATATCTCAGATTTTCTTTCTCTACTTTTCAACCCAGGGTAAAGTAATCCTTTGTTATATTACTGCATATTTTACACTGAACACATTTTAATGCCCTTCACCTACAAATTTGATTGTATTAAAACAATAATTAGTGTCTTTTAATGTCATGTGAACAATATCAGAACTGAAATTGCTTTCAAATCTTAAAATATGTGCTCTGACTGTGTGTTTAGACTGTATGTTTATATATTATACTGTTAATTTGGTCAACGCAGGTCTGAAAGAGTCCTTAGAACATATTTAGCATGATCTTAAAGCCCTGTAGAGTCCAGGCATGGCATGTCACACAATACACAGCTGCCATTTTCTGAGTGATCCTGTATATTGGTAAAGGAGATGGAGGCCGGTTTCCCGTCTGCCCATCTCGCTTGGATGTTTATCATTAGAGAGTGCAAGCGTTTCTGGGCTCCCACCGAGCTCTTTTGATGGAGCGCAGACAACAAAGTGGGGAGGGGAGGCAGCCGACCAATTTCCCCCACCACAGATGTTAACACAGTGGTATCTGTCTGGACGCGCTGGGCAAACAGTGGCGCAGGCCGCGTCACTTTTCACGCCTGTTATCTCGCCCCCCGCCTTCCTCCGCTGCCATGCCTCCTTTCCCATTCCTCATTTCATTAATGTTTGCCTGTTTGTCTCTCCGTGAAAAATCCTGATCACCCCAAGCGCTGGACTGGCTAACGCTCCCGCTGGGTTAACTCGCCGACATCAAACACGCTAAGCCCGTCACAGCCGCCGCCGCTGTCTCTGGCTTCTATCAATATTACGGCCAGCACTCCACACTACAAATTGCCAAATCAGAAGCAACATTACTAGATAGTAGGGAGGGAAAACGGCTAATGAAGTGTGAAAGTGCAAAAAAACAAACAAGAGAACGTATGCCAGGACCCCTTCTGTGTGTCATCGCTATGGTCATTTGTTAGCGCAGACATTTTGAAACGCATAACCATCTGCATTTGATGTTTTCCTTCATTTCCAATCACTCCCTCATGTCATCATTTCATTTTGGTTGGCTTTCTTTTGATTGTTGTTAAATGCTGTTTTGTTCACTAAATTAGCTTTAAATGCTCTCTCTTACACACACACACACACACACACACACATACAAACAAACAGAGGATATGTCATCAGAGAAATCCCCACAGTTACCTTGTACAATGATGCTTTCACCAGAGAGTGATATTTCATTTTGTACAATAGTTACGCTTGATAATTCACCATAGTTTGCAGAATAATTTGCCATCTGTGGGGGTAAAGCGACACATATTACACAACACAAATCTGTCTCTCATTGTTGTTGATTTGCTCACGTTTGGTTTCGTTTTTCCTGATTTTTTCCCCGTATGTCATGTTTTTTTTTTGTTGTGTTTTTCCATCTAGATGCCCTTACCACAACCCCTAAACCCACAACCACCACCACCACCACCATCTCCGCCACAACCTCCCCTCCAGACGTCATACAAGGTATGGTATGACCTCCATCCACCTGCTCAGCCTGAGCGCCTTTGTGTGTGCGTGCGGATGAGAGAGAGAGAGAGACAGATAGACCGCCAGCAGCTAGCCAGGCTTGATAAGATTCTCTCGCTGATTATGAGAGGACCGTGTCCCACATGAGACCGGGCCAGGGCTGGGCCAAGCTCGCAGCGCTGTCGGTGCCACATGTCAGAGCTGGCTCCCTTTACCATTCTCTCAAATTTTAGCCCGGTTCACTCCTTTAGCGGCCTAATCTTATCAGGATCTGGCGCTGTATCCAGGCCTGTCTGGTGCAGGGATTACAGAACCCCCTTTATGTTTCCTGTGGGCTGACAATGACGGCAGAGTCTTTGTGGCCAAGAGGAACCTGGATCAAGCGTGTACATGTTTGGATTTCTAATTCACCGAGCCAAGCACATTCGACTGCACAGGTATAATGATTCAAAAATCAGGTTTGGACTATCATTACATCAAATCCCTGCTCATGCTATTCGCAGTTTAGTCTGGTATCCACCAGTGGATTATCACTGTTATTGTTTATCCAAAGAGACTTTCAAGGTGTCTTTTATCAGGGTCGTAAACACTGAGGTCATTGAGATAGTATTGCACAGATTTTGCGCTCTATTGCACAGTGTTTTGATTGTTGTTTACAAAAAAAATATGTAAAAGTTTTAGGCTGTTTTTTTTGTGATCATCAATGTCAAAAACACTGAATTGGCCAATCAAATCAAAGTATCACTAGAGCAATGCTTCAGTTTTAAAGGAATAGAGTGGGGTAGAATGACATGCAGAGGGAAGTATGTATATCAGGGTCATGTCTTTATAGATGTGTTTCTACATCTTACTAATAATATACATTTTGTTATAATATTTCAATTCATTTATACTGATACTATTAAATTAACATTATAGCCAATAGAGTAAATATCATTTAAGTATTATTTGCACATACACTACCGTGGGTTTAGATTTGGGGTCAGTAGGATTTTGAAATGTTTGAAAATAAGCTTAATCTGTTCACCAAGGCTGCATTTATCTAATCAAAAATACAGTCGAAATTGTAAAACTGTTAAATGTTATTGCGATATAAATTAACTGTTCAAACTTTGTTTATCATTTAATTGAATAATTTATTCCAGTGATTTTAAAGATGAATTTTCAACTTCATTACTCCAGTCTTCTGAGTCACATGATCCTTCAGAAATCACTTTAATATTACTTATTATTATTATTATTAATGGTAATAGTAATTAAAGCAATAATGACTGGAGTAATAATTTAATTTAAAACTGCATACAATAAGTAAGAAATGAATATAAAAAAATAAGTATTTTACAATGTAACATTTATGTACCAAACATTTGACTGGTAATCATTCATTCATTCATTCATTCATTTGTCATTCATTCATATATGAAATTGTTTACATTTGTAGTTAAATGTACTTGCTGTAGATAGTTATATATAGTCTCTTATTCTCTAATTATCACCAATATTTGATTTAATGTAAGTTTGGCTAAACAGATATGCTTTGGGAAAACCTAAAATGCTATGCTTTAATGCTTAATTTGATACATACTGTGTGTATTTGGTCAATCACATAATGCATAGTGGAAGAAGCCTGAAAAAAAGATGTTTCAAAATCTTGCAGAGGAGTATTTAATTACAAATTGCTTTATTAACTTATTTAACTATGAAGTAGCAACACTACTGTTAATATTGATCTTAAAGCATTGCTATTAGATTTTTTTATGTTTTAATTACATGTAATGTTAATATACACCATGAACCTTTTTGCTTGGTAGCACTGGTGCTCCCAAAATGTAGTTGTACCAACCAATTATGAGCTCCGTTACTACCCAATTTACATTAACAGATTCATTGCATTTGAAATCAACACTAATCAAAACTAACAAACAAACAAAAAATAAATGTATGCGTCTACTGGCCCTGCACGCACTGCTTGACATAAATAAAACAAAAATAACTATGCTGTGTTCTCAAGGGTGGTAATATTGCACAGATGCTATTGACACATAACTTATTATTTGCATAATCATCTTATTTGCAATAACGGTCTTTTCATGAGCTGCAATATTAGTGTAATCTTAGTCAATGCAAGTCCTTTTGTGATGGTGTGTACGGTGTTACATTGTACATATAGCTGCCACTTGCAAGGCTTACAGCAGTCTGACAATCAACACACTTGAATCTCACACTAAAATTGTGTAGATGTGGCAAACGCTGCAACCTGGAAACTCCGTCACACTGGCTTTAAAGTGAATGCTTAAGTCATTTTCATAGCAGACTTTAACTAAAGTCCCTTTAAGGTGCATTCTATAGTCTTTGTTTTAACCCACTGGAAGTCTTTTATCCACTCTTCCAAAAGTGTAAATGGTGGATTAACATTCACCACATGATCACTAATCAGATGTGCCATTATTTGTAACTTTAGGTGGTTTCTAAAACAAAATCTGTCTGTGTTGTTTTCATTCTCACATTCAGGGCTTTATATTTTCGCAGTTGTAGCTTCCTGTCATCAGAAGGCAGAAGGCTGTGATTGGCAGCTGATATTAACTAATCCATTCACGTTCAGTTCAGAGCAGTGAGCCAATCAGAAGAGCTTGAAGGCGGGGCTAGCATTGTTGGCTTTGTTTACTGCAGCAACTGTTTTAAACTATTCCTGAGCAATGATTTTCGTGTTTTAGGTGCAAAGAAAATGTGCTCCTAAATCTGCACATGCGGTAAACATTTTGCAGTGAAAACTGGTCAAACAGCAACTTTATGGACTGGTATACTCCCAAATATATTTTGAGGTTGCATACACTCTCAAAAATAAAGGTACAGGAGCTGTCACTGGGGCAGTACCTTTTCAAAAGGTACATATTTGTACCTGAAGGGTCCATAATGGTACCTCAATGGTACTTTTTAAGTACATTTGGGTACTAATATGCACCTTAAAGGTACCATTGTGAACTATTTGGGTACAAATATGTATCTTTAAAAATGGTACTGCCCCAGTGACAGCTGCTGTACCTTTATTTCTGAGAGTGTAGATACAATTTCGGGTGCATATGCCCTGACACCACTGTTTGACAGTTTTAGATTGTAAAGATTATTGGAATGTCTTTTTAGGAATACCAAGGATTTATTTTATTTATTTTATTGTTTAACATTTTTTTAATTGAGATAAATCCCGTGATCATTACTCCAGACTTCAGAGTCACACGATTTAAGGCCAATTGTTGTCATAGTAATATTTTTCAGGATTATTTGATGAATAAAAAGTTCAAAAGAACCAGAAAACATTGACCCTAAACTTTTGAAAGATACTGTAATCAGCCTATGGCTAAATGGAAATATGCATTCAATTTGTTTGTTTGCCACAAGTCACCCTTTAGCGATCATTAAAATAATTGGACATCACCTGCAGGACTCGTGCTTCATTTAACAGCATCTAAATAATTCCACGTTGATTAAAAAAAGACAGATGCATGACTGGAGGGGCAAATCTATATGCATATGGCCAGGCCATGGAGCACGCTTGGAAAACTGGGCTTATGGCCACAGCATAGACGCTACAATTAACTTTTTTGTTCTGCCGGGTTGGTTTGAACCTGCTTATTTTATAATTGAGTGAACTCTGAATGTAGGGCCAGCTCTGTTGCCGAACGATACCAATGCCCCTGCGATACTGACCACCGCAAGCTCATTAGCTACTCTAATCCACTCTACTCAACATAAAAAGCACACAAAAGCTAATACGGCCCCAGATGATGGAAAGCTAAATCAATGTTGCTGCTGGTTTCAATCTCTAAAAGAGACCCTGATGTAATTTGCTGCCTGTAATGATTGTGATATTGAAGCAACCGATTGAGATCATTTCACTCTCTGTTTTTCTCCTTCCTCAAGGCAATTCTTTATATTATAGTGAAAAGCGTGCAGATTGCTAGAGATGCAGCTCCACGCTTTGTTGTGTACTTGCCAATCCGAGTGGGAGCGGCGGACGGTTCCGCGAGCAATCAAAATCTTGGACTGACTTGCGCGGATGATTTGAGAGAATCTATAAAGGGCTGAGAAATGAATCGGCCATGATTAGGCTACATGATTGTGTTTAATGAAAGAAGCAATGACGCATACTAATGAGACACACCCTCTTTCTTCATTAAAGAGGTGAATGAATCTCGTTAACACAACCGCCTGCTGCACACATTGAAATCCTCTAGAGGTCCAACCCGCAGGCATTGCTGTGGATAAACGCCGCTGATAGGGGAAATATTATTCAATTACAATCATATTGCGTTGTTTGTGCCGAATGATTCCAGCTCTGGATACACTATTGCTCTGCTGTATCAGGCCACATTTTTATCACTCTTCCCTTAAAGCGCTTCCTATTATCCTCATGTACTTCAATGGGAAAAGTGGGTCCTAAGCAGCCACACTGCTCCCGCCTTCTGCTGATTTCATTTATCCTTTGGCTAGATGTGTATAGTTCAGGAACACCACATGAATTTATCAGTCCACTGAGGTGGAGGCCACTTAGAAATTTAATACATTTTTGATAAACTGGCTATAAGAGAAATGGAATGGGCTATACTGCACTTTTAAAAAATCTATTAAAGCCCTAACGCAAGGCTAAAGTGCTCCACAGCTTCAGGAGGTGACATTTAGAGATGACTAAATTGCCATTTACACTGAAAAATAAATGGCTAAATGGAGAGGCCTTGCTTGCCACCATACGCAATAGGGACAGATGTCATTAATTTATATTTGTATTGTTTTTTTTCCTCTCCCGCTAAACACAGCTCAGAAATGGATGTTTATCGATATTTCTGAGAGCTCTTTTATTTCCCGCAAAGCTTTTGCAAATTTGATCAAAGATGAGAAATTTTTTCCTCTGCCTCTTTCTCTGGGGCTGACAACGCAATCTGTCCTCCATCTCCCTCGTTTCTCCCATCTCGTCATTTGCTCTATCTCTTTCTGTCCATTTA